TTATTTCAATGAAGCTCTCTTTTTCTATTTCTGCGAGACACGTCAATTGAAATAGCAAACATGTCGCTGAAGTCACAAATTTGATATCTCCCTTGGTTTCCGAATAGAATTTTCTAGAACTTAATTGAAAATTCATTATCACAGTCAAAATCGGGTATACAGTCAATTCCGGGGTAATTTACACGATCTGTCTCTTTTTGTGGTTGTCATTGTTCACTCTGACTAACTGTCTCAGTGTTCACTATAGTGTCCACACTAGTGTCCGCGCACTATTCTGCAATCGGACTTCACTTTGCAGTCCTCGAATTACATCTCACTTCTAACACCAATGTCACGGCTCTGAGGTACGTGACAGAAATCTTGGGTTCTTTTATTTCAAAATCAAAATCCAATTAACACAACAATAATTTATTCCACGTTACTACACACTCTGACATTAATCACTTCACTAATTAACTCAAACAACTTAACCCTTAACAACTCTATTTAAATCGTATCACAGTCAATCTTAAACTTAAAAACTACATATACCGGCCTTTATATATCCGTAATATATTCTTACCAAATCCAGAATAAACGCGATAGACCTTTTTCTTGAAGCGCGACGTAAAATCTAGCAGCAAACTTGGAGATCAAATGTCGAAGAGTTATTGAAGGACCCTCAACCATCAATCTTGGCTCTGCAGGAGATGGAGAAGTGGATTTGAGAAGAATTCCGTTCAAAGTGTGCGTAGGCAGACCAATCCGCTTTTGTTGAAATTGCAATAGTGGTCATACAAGCCTGGAAGATTTAGTGAAAATGTCGAAATACGAAATGAGACAATCAGTGGTTTGAAAAATATCACTTCCACCATTGGATATTTGACGAAAAAAGGTTATAGAAGATATACTAGAAGAGAGAATTGAAATTGGAGACTTCAACATCAAATTACGCCAATCTTCAGGGAGATTCAAAAACAAAATGGACAACATCTATCAACTAGAAGATCTACCATAAAGTCCTAGAGTAAGCCATTTGCCTCACCATTTATGTTTTAATCACTTGGAAATGTCTATGAACAGTGAAAGAGGATCATTGATGGATGTTAGTACTCAAGATCACGATGATTGATAGACAGCAATTGACTCAGTATTGCATGTGAATATGTCGTTAAATCAAATCACATTGGAAAAGGCTGGAAACAGTAGGGCATCCAGCTTCAACAAGCAGTTCCTCATGTCCTGGCTCAGAAACAGATATGTGTAGGTATCACCAATGAACCGCATGATTTATTTTATTTTCCACTTCCATAAAAAAAAAAAAATTATTCCCTCTCAAACAGAGAAACTCTTAGAGAATATTCAAACTCTATATAGTAGTTCCTTTTCAGCAAAAATCAAAATTAAACTATATATAAGTATTAAAGAGTGGCAGCATTTTCTTCATTAACAATTATTCACAGTTAACTTAATCTAGTTCTGGTTTACCATTTATTAACTTAACCGCCCACCGTGGTGTTCGTTTTTCATTAGCCACAAAAGTAAACAACAATTCATGGTAGTTTTGGTGTAGGCCGACCATCCTGCAAGCTAAAAACCAGTTCTAAAATTGCAATTTATTTATGTGTTTTGTTCGGAGATAGGCCTTATATGTAGAATATGTGGGATTGATTCCATTTTTTTTTTCAGCGTCCGAATGAATGCGATATATCGGCTTTTATTTTTTTAATATATATCTAGTCGGAATCGTTCAGTCTGGAGGTGTTGAATTTGAATATTGAGAATATAATGAATGTGGATTGATTTGGATTGAAAAGTGTGGTACTCTGGTACAGTTAGGTGGATTATAAATTAATGATTTATAGTGATTCTTTGTAATAGTTTTCAAAATGGTGGGATAATATTGATCAAAACACAAAAAATGTAGTAGTAGATTCATTATGATATCAGAAAACATGGTCAAATATGTATTTTTATGGTAAAATGCCTCTCTTGCGAATCAAGGGTTGGCATACACAAACCCAATTTAAAAAACCCAGTTGGCTTTGGACTTTTTGTGTCAAAAACCCATTCATACAGTACTCATTCCTACCATAGTGCCAAATATCAATCAAAAATTTAACGTTTGCACCTGTGGCTCGACATGCAAGTATTAGATTATTGTTGAGTCATGCAGTGAGAAAGAATATGTTTATTTCCACATTTGATGTAAATACAGCTTTAGCCCAAGAAATTTATGAGTTTTTCAAAAAATTTTGCGAGGACAGGCTGATTTTTTCAGGGCTGATTGGAGACTGTGTCCTGAGTATTGAGCCAAAAAATCACACTCGAAAGCCTTTGTGCGTTCGGCCCTATTGGCCTTTTTCTTATTTTATTTTTTTCGACGAAATGACCTTGACAAAACTTGTAGATAATAATATTCTGATCAACTTTGCCTCGTGCCTTTTTTTGCTAGCTATTTTAGTTTAGGCGTTGCGGCCATTTTAGTGCTCCAGAATTCGCAAAAAAATTAAATAGCAAACCTGCAGATTATTGTAACTTTAATAAAATTCCGATGATACATCACTAATCCGGTGAAATTATTTTCCCGGAGTGAAAGCGTGAAATCGAAATGATGTTTTTTTTTGACAATACTGGGACCTGTTACCTGTTTGAAAAGTGACAAAATGTTTTTTTTTTCTACAATCGGCCTAGAAAGTAGACTTTGTCGATTAGATTTGTGCTCGCAAAGTAGACGTTTCCTGATGACCTCCACTTTGCTGCTTTAGAGCGTCAAACTACGTCAAAATCCTTCACTTTGTCGCTCTAGAGCGGCAAAGTAGTAAAAGCGCTTGCTTTTACTACTGGTTTCTTTGAACCTGAACTATTTTTTATCAAATGCGATTGTAAAAAAAATCAAGTGTGCATTTGCCAATATCAACAATATTTTTCGATCGGCAAAGTACCACTTTGCGCTCTTAATACACAAATAGTGTCCGAAATTCAATTTCGCGAAACGCCACATTTTACCTGTAAAATGTGTCAAATCCTTAGAAACGCTATGCATGCCACAATGTCCACCAGGTCAAATAAAATTTTTAAAATGCCTAAAAGGCCGTACAAGCAAAAGAAATAAAGTTACAATGAAATATCATCGAGCAAAGTAATAGAGAATTTTATTAGGTATAATAATCTGCAGATTTACTATTTAATTTTTTTGCAAATTCTGAAGCACTAAAATGGCCACAGCGCCTAAAGTAAAATAGCTAGCAAAAAAAGTCATGAGGCAAAGTTGATCAGAATGTAATTATCTACAAGTTTTGTAAAAGTCATTTTGTCGAAAAAAAAAAAAAAAAGAAAAAGGCCAATAGGGCCGAACGCACAAGGCTTTCGAGTGTGATTTTTTGGCTCAATACTCAGGACACACTCCCCCATCAGCCCTGGAAAAATCAGCTTGCCCTCGCAAAATTTTTTGCGGCCCTGGTATTAATTTCTTGGGCTACTTTTCTGAATGGAGACTTACCTGAAAAAATTAACATGTTACAGCCAGAAGGTTTTGATGATAAGTCTGGTAAAGTTTATTTACTAAAACGAAGTTTATACAGTCTGAAGCAAGCATCGCAAGCTTGGAAAAATTGGGATTCATACACAGATGATGATTTATTTTTTACAATAAAAACATGCCAGTGATAATTGGAATATTTGTGAATGACGGAATAATAGTGATTGGTTGTGATGAAAAGAAAATAACAAAAACTTTAGTTGGATTGAGCAGAGAATTAAAAATGAAGACCTCAATTCCAGAAGATGGAAAACCATTTTCTCTTGGAATGGAAATTGAATTGATGCAGAGGGAAATATCATTCACACAGCAGAAATAGACTCGAAAAATATTGATACGTTTTGGATTTGAAGATGCACATCCAGTTTCGACACCTATAGAACCTGGAAATGCAGACAGAAAAGGAAATGAATGACAAAATCTTGAAAGACAAACCTTATAGAGAGGCTATAGGTTCTTTGTTATACTTATCAACGATTTCGAAATCAGATATTAGTTTCGCTGTGAATTATTTAAGTAGCAGAGTCAGTCAGTAAACCAAGTAAACCAACGAGTTTTTCGATATCTATGAGGATCGGAACATCTTGGTATAATTTTTAATGGCGATACAAGCTTGAAAGATATACAGATTCAGACTATGGAGGACTAGAAGCTGATATGATATCTACTAGTGGTAGACTAATTGAATTTAGAAGTCCGATCGTTTGGATCGCTCAAAAACATCAACATCATCAGCAGAGGCTGAATATCGTGAAGCTACAAGTGGAATTTAATAAGTCTGTTGGATTCGTCGAATAATTATATGACTTGGAATGCAAGAGATGACTGAGCCGACTGATTTACTTAATGATAATAACATAGCAATTCATATGATGGAAAATGCAGAAGAAGGGAAAGTCACAAAAGGAAAAAAAAAACACATTAAGATTCGTCGCAAGTTCATAAATCAGCATGTTGGGAAGACTGTATGCTCAGTTTATCTGAATACAAAAGAATAAAGTTGCTGATATATTTACAAAGGCATTGAACAAGAAAGTCTTATAAAATTCACATCAGAAATTGTTATAACTTGCAAAAACCCATAGAAACCCAATAGAAGTTTTCAAAAATCCGTGTTTTTGCTAACCCTGAGTCCAATGATGATCAAAATTTAGATTCATGATTCGCAGTAAAATTTTTCTGGAGCTCACAATAGTCAAAGTTTCAGTTCTTACTGGTCCTTCTTCTTGATTGCCTTCAAAGAAATCGCACATCGAATCAATCAAGAACAAACAGTAATCAAAATTCTGACTATTACTGGCTCTTGAATGCCTCTAGAAAAATTGTAAAAAGACAAATTCAATTAAACAAATTTTTTTTTCGACCTTTTTACTACAACAAAATAATCAGCCATGTATTATAATTTTGCCCATATACCTAATTATTCCTTTCATCTGCACTCTATCCTCTGTTTCCTTTACGGCGTCCAGACGTCTGGCTCCAAAGCTTCGCAGCAGCAACGTCTCTGGATTCCTTTTCATTCGAAATTCGATTTTGTCCTCATAAACATGTTTAAAAAAATTAATATGTCGTGTTTTATACCATCGAAAACATGGGCAATGATTATGGCATTGAAAAATTTGGTAAGTTATTGTAAGTTTCTGCATTAAATAAAAATAGTAATTTTCTAGGCTTTAGGAATATCCATTATCATTGGAGGAAGCATTTGGTTGACAAACAATAAAGTGCTGGACACTTTTAAAACATATTTTGCCTTTGGAGTTTTGATTGGCATAACTAATATTGTAGCTGGAATTATTTTAATAAGTGCCTTAGTCCAGGTATAAAGAAACTGCATAGCAAAAATAGATTTGGTGGTAAAAATAGTATTTTTTTTAGGGCAAAGAAAACATTGTCCTCCTCTACATCCTATTAGAATTCATCATATTGTTCACTCTAACAATATTCACAGCCATGAACAATCTTGATTCGGAATTTTCCGTTGTCACTCTTTTAGTTTTTCTCTTATGCCGTAAGTAACTTATTACAATTAATTTGTACTTATTTAAAATGAATTCTTCTATAGTTAGTCTCTGGATCGGTCTACACAACGTCTACAGTTTCTACCTGGAATTGCAAGAGTACAACAACAGTTCAGTGCTGGCCGGTTTAGATGAGATTGCTTGCAACACTCATCCCAATCCTTTGGTGTCGTTTCCTGAAAAATCTTTGGATACTACAACAGTGTAAAAGTGTCTTTATTGTAATATACAAAATATAATAATATTTAATTTGGGAAACCCTATAAAAATATTGTAATTTTTTTAAGTTATAAGACCACTATTATTGAAATAAAATAGATTCTATAGAGACACAATCAGATATTTTCTCTAGTAAAAGGAACTATCTTGCGGATTTTGTGGAAAGAAAAGACTCACTTTCCACATGTTTTACATTTCTATTAAATTATTTAAGCTCACTATTTTGGACCTATAGTAAAAATAATTGATGATTTAAGAATTTGAGAAATAGTTTGCTGTTAGCATCTGCTACTACTACTCATTATTTTATTTTTAAAGTGAAAGTAATATTAGCATTTTCTAAAAATAACCAAAAAGCAAGCAACGGCGTTTTCTTTCGGTTTAATTGCTTTGTTGCAAATTTTATGAAAACATAAATAATTCTCATCCAAAAAATAGAATGATAATAAAATGTATCGATAACTAAATAAGTATATTGTGAAATAGGCAAATAACGTCTATAGCAGCATTTTTATCAGTTTATCTCTAAAAGTGATAAAATAATTTATTTGTTTTTTGTGTAATAATTGTACCATCTTCTGTTATGGTTTAATGTAAAAATGTGTAACCTTACTGAAGTTTTTTGAATCCCATTTACAAAAGGTAAGAAGCAATAAATGATTTAAGTAAATTGAGTTTTCAAGTTTAAGATGATTTGATACCAGCGCCATCTGAAATATGAATTTAAAAAATCTTTTTTCACATATTATTATTTCCAGATGGAAAATGAAGCATTATTAGTTAATTCTAGAAAAGTGTGGCCAAAAGTTTTCCAGAAATACGACAAAATCGAAGTGATTGCAGCATCAAATTTGGCAAGTACAATTTGCTTCAAAGTTTTTTCCTTTTGAATTTATTTTACCTTTCCAGATAATCATTACTTACGGACTGTATTTGACGGTTGAAGACATTTTTGCCCAATACTATCCGAGCAGTTTGCACGAAGCCGCAGTGGTGTTTTTCTATTATTCATTTCAATACGGTTTGGTTGGGTTGCTGCTGATAGGTCATAAACATGTGAGTTTTTTAAATATTTCTGACACATTGCAAACGTCTATAAGTTAAAGCTTATCGCCAAAATGTCATGAATTGTTTGTGATTTTTCGAACGCCTTCGTCAAAACATCAGGTATATGCAAGTTATTATGGTATTGCAACAAAATCTAAAAATAATGGAGGATGTTTCAAACCGAATTCATTGATAAAATGGGGTATTTTTTAGAGGTTAAAAAACGATTTCCAGTTCCAGGCCATCAGACACGGTTTCTAAAGCTAAAGAAATTTCAGAAATATGTTACCCCAAATACCAATGTTGCAAAATATAGAATAATTCTACTGTCGAAGTGAGCAAATTGTGAAGGATTCCAAATGGTAATAAACGAAATCTTATCAATAATTGAAATCCAAGATTTGAACAGGAAATTCAATATTGTCATATATATTTGAAGTTTTTGCAACACTGCCCTATGACTAGAAAATTCATATACATTGAACGCCCATGTGTCAAGAATCTATAGAGTCGATAGTAAGACCAAAGAATATAATAGACTCCGTCTATAGAAGACCCGTCCGCCGGCGAAAATATAAACCCGCGTGATGGCGCTACTGTGCTACCAAAATCCTTCGTTTCTGTGATTAAATTAATTTGAGCAAAGTTTGAGGCACCAAATACACGGGTTATTGCGGAGCTGCGTTGCCAAGTTGTGACTGGCTATGTTCAGCACCGTGCAATTCACTATTATGATAACAAATAATTGGAAGTTTTGCTATTGGGTAGGTATTTCATGTGACTGCACCAATTTAAGTACACAAATTGATAATTTTAGTATAGATTTTGTATAGGAAATTAATTGTCTGTGTTTTATAGGTAGGTATGTACTTATTATGTACAGTTGCGGCCATTGGAATTGGCACAAATTTTTGAATGCACCTTGTATTCCATCAAAAAAATGAACTATTTGACTTTTTGAAGTGAAAACTTCTTTAGAATCGTTGGGAGTGATTTGAGACTCGATGAAATGAAAAAGCGACCCGATGAAATGAAACGAAAAGCAACACTTTTTTAACACGCTTATAATTAACACACAATACACAACAAGAACCTGGAACAAGCCAAGTGAGCTGGAACAAGTCTGGAAAAGTCTGGAAATCTCTGAAAACGTCTAGAAAAAACCTGGAAATTTCTGGAAAGGGTCGGAAAAATTCTGCCAAAGGTCCCAAAAGACCTGGGGATCATTTTCCAGAATCCGGATCAGTATGTATGTCTGGATAAGATCTGGATAAAGTCTGTAAAACTCTGGAAAACCCTGGATAAGTCTGGGTATTGTCTGGAAAAGTCTGGAAATCTCTGGAAACGTCTGGAAAAAGCTTGGAAATTTCTGGAAAGGGTTGGAAAAATTCTGAAAAAGGTCCCAAAAGACCTGGGGATCATTTTCCAGAATCCGGATCAGTCTGAACAAGTCTGTTAAAGTCTGGATTAATCTGGATGAAGTCTGGAAAACTCTGAAAAGCTCTGGAAACGTCTGGAAAGAGCCTGGAAATTTCTGGAAAGGGTCGGAAAAATTCTGCCAAAGGTCCCAAAAGACCTAGGGATCATTTTCCAGAATCCGGATCAGTCTGTACAGGGTGCTGCAATTTGGAGTGTTTTTACAGAAAAAACACAATTCCAGACCAGATAGAGGAAAATTGACTTAGATATCATGGAATCGATTTTCGAGAAACGTCGATTGTCAAAAACCGTATCGCGATATCTTCAATGGTACCATTAATACATGGCGATTTTCGATTTTCCCCTATTATGAAAAATGGCCATAAGTTTTTTATTTATCAATTTTTTTCATTTCTGTAAAAACATTATGGAGACACTTTTTTGAGCACAATCCAATGGCGGACTCGGTTTTTTTCTATATCGCTCCGATTTCGAGATATCGACCAAATTCCGATATTTTCAAATGAAACATCCTCTATAATAATAGCTCATTGGATAGCTCTGTTTTTGCTCATTTCAATGATATAAAGTTCGATAGGTTTATCTCTAACAGTTTTCTAGAAAAAAAATTATATCTGTTTCAGTCATAAGAAACAATGTGTTAGAAAGAGACCTTCCTCACTTTCCTTACACATATAAAATCCTTTTCTAACACATTGGTCCTTACGACAAAAATAGATATGATTTTTTTTCTCGAAAACTGTTAGAGATAAACCTATCGAACTTTATATCATTGAAATCAGCAAAAAGAGAGCTATCCAATGAGCTATTAATATATAGGGAGTTTCATTTGAAAATATCGGAATTTGGACGATATCTCGAAATCGGAGCGATATAGAAAAAAACCGAGTCCGCCACTGAATTGTGGTCAAAAAAGTGTCGTCATAATGTTTTGACAGAAATAAGAAAAATTGATAAATAAAAAACTTATAGCCATTTTTAATAATAGGGGAAAATCGAAAATCGCCCTGTATCAATGGTACCATTGAAGATATCGTGATACGATTTTTGACAATTGACGTTTCTCAAAAATCGATCCCATGACATTTAAGTCAATGTTTCTCTATCTGGTCTGGAAGTATGTTTTTCCTGTTGAAACACTCCAAATTGCAGCACCCTGTACAAGTCTGGATAAGGTCTGGATAAATCTGGATAAAGTCTGTGAAACTCTGGATATTGTCTGGAAAAGTCTGGAAAAGACTTGGAAATTTCTGGAAAGGGTTGGACAAAATTCTGAAAAAGGTCCCAAAAGACCTGGGGATCATTTTCCAGAATCCGGATCAGTCAGTACAAGTCTGGATAAATCTTGATGAAATCTGGAAAACTCAGGAAAGCTCTGAATAAGTCTGGAGAATGTCTGAAAAAGTTTGGAAATCTCTGGGGCTGGCACGCTTTTATAATACATCGAACTAAAAAGTGAAAAATAAATATATTTTGAAAAAACTAAAAAACACGCTTTCATAGTAAATTGAACTAAAAAGTGGAAAATAATTTGTAATATAAAAAAAAAATATTAATGAACAAAAAATATTAGAATTATTGTGAAAAAAGCGTGGGGTGCTCAATGTATAAGAAATGTGGAACAAAGCACCCCAGCGTGTATTTTAGTTTTTTTAAACTATATTTATTTGCGTTCTTTCTCAAGTCTTTTGGAGGGGGGGGGGGGGGGGCGCCACTGTGTATGTTAGTTTGTGTGTAATGCATGCAGTTCGATGAAGGTTTCACTTCTACCGGGTGTGAACTCCACAGGATTTTTTTTTAACAAGCCGTTAATGCCAAAATTTTGTCAGTTTTGGCTTTATACAAAGCGCGTTCAAAAATTTGTGCCAATTCCAATGGCCGCGACTGTACCCTACCAGTACCATTGAATAATAATAGGTCTGTTTCTGCAGAAATCACAAACCAGTCAGAGTGAATTTCATTGGTTGAAACTAGTTTTCTGACTGTTTTCAACCAATGGAATCCGCTCTGACTGGTTTGTGATTTCTGCAGAAACAAACCTAATATTATTAGGATAAATAAAAACAAAATAATAAATAGTTTTATAAGTATGTATTTATACAGTAATTTTCTGTCACTAATAAATTCATTATATAAAAGGAACTTAGACCGATCTACAAAAAAATAAATAAATAATTCATAATTCAAAATAAAAACATAAATTTCTAAGTGGCAAATTCGCCAAATATACTGAAAACCCCAAAGAAAATGATAGAACATAGCATCCATTGATATTCTTTGCTTAATTATAAAATAATATATGTTGAAAAATTAAAGAAGTTCACACTGAAAAAAAATTCGAGATTATAGTAAATAAATATTTGTTTCTGACAAATTTGGTTACAAATACCAAACCAATATTATAATTAATATGCATTGGTAAGAAATACATTAAATTGGTAATTAAAAATATGACTGTTAAAAATAGTTATTTATAAAATACAAATAATTTATTAGGACTCATTTTCTTATATCAAACAATGTTTGTTAATAATGAACAAAATATTTCTTACATTGATTTACAAGGGTTTTATAAATATAATTTATTAACAGAATGTTCTGGTTTAGTAATTATAAACAAATGGTAACTGTAGATTAATAAATATATAATGTTCCATTTTAACACA